TATTCTTAGTGTTAGTTAACATATTAGTCACATAGTATTCTTGGATTTGTATTTTCAGTGTCTTCCATACAAGAATTTCCATATTCTTTCCAAAGTTAACATGTTTCTGGTGGGTTAAAATAAAATAGAAAAGTCCAAAGAGGTAGGGGAGATATTAAATTGGTAGCCTTCAAAAACTCCTTTCCAGCACTAACTTTCTTTCGTATATAGCTGTATGATCTTGGATAAATCATTCTCCCTCTCTGGATTTCAGCTTCGTAATTTGTATAAAAAAAAAAAAAAAAAAGCTGTCAGATACCTTCCAGCTTGAACAGTCTAATTTTGTTGGAAAATCTGTGGCATAGCTACTGCTCCCTTCTTCTTCGAAAGTGGCCCATGCTATTTAATTACAGCAGACCTTGGCATTTGCATATTTGACATCTGTGGCTTTGACTATTCCCAGAGACCCCAAAGGTCCATGAGCTGCAGTAATCTGTTATTTTGCAGAGACGTGCTGTGAGCAGGGGATACAGGAGCCAGTCACGTGTTTAGTGAGAGAGATTAACGTGCTGGCAGAACCCACGCCTCCCTGAGGTTTTGCTGTGTCTGCAGTAGGCTCAAAGGCCACGATTCTCGTAATGTACTGTAGTGGTAGTCGTAAAGGTTGGGGATTCTTCCAGATCACAAAGACACAATAGTATCCCTCTCAAATGCCAAGAGTTTATTGTAACGTGAGTTTAAAGTAATCATGTACCCACCCCCAGCCACCTACTTCACTACTACCTCCTAACGGAGGTGACTTTAAAGACTTTAGTGGCATTGTACACACAGCAAGGAGATTTTATTCCTTTTCTATTGAACTTATCACTACCGTACCACTTCTCCCACGTGTTTTGATTTGTCTGTATGTCTGTGTCCTCTCCATCATCAAGATCCTTGAGAGCTGAGATGCCAGCTTGTCTTATTTATTATCTGTATCTCCCAAGTACCTAGTACGCAGCAGATAATTAGTGAATGTCTACTGAGTGACTGAGCACCTTCTATGAGCAGGCATTTTGCTAACAGTGCATTTTCTTCACATCTGTATGTAATACTTAATTATACCCCTGCAAGATAGATATTATTCCTCCTATCATTCCAATAAAACATCTGGGACTCAGACAAGTGAAGTGACTTGCTCAATATGATACAGCTGGTCAGTGATGGATTCACATCTGTCTGTCAGACTCCAAAGTCCATGTCCTTCCATCTTACCATCTTTGAAGAAGTAAAGCATAAAACCAAATAAGTGAATTCACAGACCCAATATTATTGGTGGAGCACAGGCCTGGCTTCAACCTGGATAGATTTAGAGGAGTGTGGTGAGGACAAAACTGACAATGTTGCCAGGCCCGGTAGCTACATAAAATTAAGCCACATAAAGAGGGAGGGATGAGAAAGTGGACTTGTTGCAGGCATCACACAGCTTCTGTCTAAGAACCTGAGGCTGTTGATTTCAGTTTGTAGACTGGTACTGCAATTAGCAGGGTCTCAGATAAGAGCTAGGTTCTAGCTTAGCTGGGGTTGCATTGGACCTGGAACTGGAAATTTCAGTAGGAAGTGGAAAGCAAGCACTCATGATTCAATTAAGCAAGTCATTTGAAAAGTCACATTCCTTCCTGAGGCTCATGGTTTGCTTGAGAGATTTGGAGCCTTTCAACTCTAAGGTGGGAACAGCAGTATTGCAAGCTTGTTAGAAATGCAGAATCTCCAGCCCTACTCTAGGCATTTTGAAACATAATTTGCATTCTAGCAAGGTCCCTGGGTGGTTCATCAGCACACTAAAATCTGAGAAACACCACTCTAAAGAGATGCTAAAGTCCTTGCTGGCTCTAATATTTTAATCTTTTATGAGTTTACACTGGGAATCTCCATGGCAGTCAAAAAACTAGCATGCTTATTAATGAGGGTCACATAGAAATCCAAGTAACATGATCACTTCAATGAGGTCTTCTGAGGATTATTGTTAATGCATCGACATTACTATTAATGGCCTTATTTACTAAGCACATACCATGTACAAGGAACCTTGCATACAATATCTTGAATCATCATAACAGTCCTGCAAGAGAAACATTATTATCCCCATTTTGCCAATGAGAAAATAATCTCATAAATTAATAAAATCCCCCCAAACTACATGGATAAATAAATAGCAGAGAGAACTTAGATTTCATGGTTTTTCTGCTACATCATACTGCTGCAATAAAATTACAATTTAAAATGTCAAGGCCTGGCTGGTGTGGCTCAGTTGGTTGGGCACTGTCCCACAAACAAAAAGGTTGACAGTTCAATTCCTGGTCAGGGCACATGCTTAGCAGGCTCAGTCCCCAGATGGGGCATGTACAGCAGGCAGTCAATCAATGTTTCTCTCTCTTATCAGTGTTTCTCTTGCTCTCTTTCTCCCTCCCCTCCCCTCCCCTCTCTCTAAAATATAAAAAAAAAATTTAAATTAAGTATCAAGCACAGGGCTGCGATGTGAGGAGAGACTAGCAGGTTTGGGACTCATTCCTCTGCCAAGAGGACCAAAGGGGCAGTCTAAGTCTACAGAAGTCTAGAAAATTATGCACAGGAACAAATGGGAACCCAAACTTGTTCACTAAACCCTAGGATACCTGGACCAGAATCTCAAATCTGTTGATATATGCTTAGAACCAATATCACCCAGAAGCTGACTTATGTTTTCAAGCTGAAAACATAAATAGGAAGGTTTAACATATTCACAGGTCCTAGATGCACAACTGATTATTAATGGGACAGAGAAATTGGGAGCCAGGCCTCCATCTCCCAAAAACTACCCCTCAGTGCCCTTAGTAGACAGGTACTGAATTGGAGGAACCACAAGACTATCAAATTATGGCCAATACTGTGGTCTTGATGTCATTTAATGCCCAACAATAACCTCTTAGATACTGACATTGCCATAAATGCGTAAGAAATTTCAGTATGTCTTCCCAGGGAGGGCCTGTCCTTCATTCACATGTATAAACCCTCTCCCCCAAAGCACATATAAATGGACAGTATTCTCTAGAAGTCACATGTTTTTATTTATGCTAACAAATGACTATCTTTACCAGTAAAGTGACTAAACAGAGCTTTCATAAATCAACTCGTCAATGGCTATTTCCCTTCAGGAAACAACATTCCCTACCCCACCTTTGGCTAGTGCAAATATGACCTACAGTGAGTGGCCTATGTCAGTGGTACAGAAAATCCTAGGGCTGGGAGGAGCTGCGAAAAGATCCGACCCTGCCTCTAGGCATGCAAAGTGTTGTTATTCCCACTTTACAGATGAGACAGTTTGCTTCTAGAGTGAAGACTAAATGACTTGCCCAAAGTCACATTATTAGGAAGAAACTGAGGAAGGCCAAGAACAGTATTCCAGGGATGACCCACTAAGCTCTGTTGTCAGCAGAACCCAACCCCTTCTGAGCTCTGTCCCAAGGCTGGACCTGGGAAGAGGCTCTTCTGTGACATCTCTCCCTTGGTTCTATGGACACCCTGTTCCATGACTTCCTTTGCGCTTCTGGAAGTGGTATGTTTCCATTTCCCACAGAAAGTGTTTTCAGCAGGTTCTCGGAGCAGTTTGACATCCCCCCTTCCTATAGAGTCCTCTTTTGCTCTTCACACCTTCTCCTGCTACTGCATATTGCTTGTGGCCACAAGCAGGAATTCAGAGACAAGGTTCTCCTTTCTCATCCCCATCCTTCTTGGCCACCCTGGAAGGTCTACCCTCCCATAAACTGAAGGTCCTGGAGAAAGTCATTCTGCTTTCTTCTTCACAGCTATCTCTCTGAAAAGGGACAGAACACCCAGTGCAAGGAGTTTCCATGGGGAGAGTTACTGAAACAATAGACATGTGACACCCACAGCATAAGGAGGACTAAATGGGGCAGTAACCTGAAAACTATCTCAGGAGAATTCCGGACTGTGAAAAGAGATAACCACAAAGATAACCACAAAGATAAATTGTGGTATTTCATCCCACAATTCTTAGGAGGCTTCTCATTCACTGCTTAGCCAGATTTTGGAGCTTAGACCTGTGACTAAAGACAGGTGGCTGCTGCCCTGGGAGCTCTGCTCCTCCAACACACATCCAGTACCCAGGCCGGCCTGACCCATCTCACCTAGACCAGGCAAGCCTCATAAGATAGGCCATGGGCATTTAAACAAGTTGCCAAGTTTCCATCAATTTTGCAATTTCCAAATTGAAAGAGAGGTACCTCAAATCTGGTTACATAATACAACTGCAATATGGCACTGAAAAAAAAAAAAGGCAATGCCACTTGCTTTCTTGAGGATGTCCTGACTGGGCTACTGCTGTCTCAGAGTGCAAAGGATTTGCTTCAATGCTCATCTAAGCCCTTGGCATGAGGAGAGGAGGAAGGAGAGACCCAAACAGTCTCCTAGCTTTTACTTAGTCAAAAGAATTCTTCAAAATCTGATATCAATGCCCTGGCTGGTATAGCTCAGTGGATTGAGCACGGGCCTGTGAACCAGAGGATCGCGGTTCGATTCCCAGTCAGGGCACATGCCTGGGTTGCCGGCAGGTTCCCTGCAGGCCAGTTCCCTGCAGAGGCAACAGGCCAGTTCCCTAGAGGCAACCATACATTGATGTTTCTCTCCCTTTCTCCTTCCCCTCTAAAGATAAATAAATAAATAAATAAAATCTTAAAAAAAAATCTGATATCAAAACTTCTGTCACCCCACACTCCACCAGCCATCATGTTGAGTTTCAGTAGATAAGAATCTGTGTCCTTAGATCCTGTCACTGGATTCTTTGCCCAGAAACAATTTTGAGTGAGAAAACTGAAGGAGAGTTTGGGGGCAAAATTGCCAGCAGTGTCTGCTGATCCTGCATACCTGTGATGAAACCAAAGTTCAACATTAACACAAATACAAGGAACATTTTAAAGAGCAGTGCAGAAGGACAGAAGGATATGGCAAAGGATGGGGGGATAGAATATTGAAAGGTTACTTACACAGTTTCATCATTCTTGAACTCCAGCTCCCCATATGTGTCTTCAAAATCCTCACCACCACCCTTGGCTGTCCCTTCTACTGTCCTAAAGGGGACGATGACTGTGCCCCGGGCACCTGATGTCCGCAGAACCTTGACCTCCATGACACCAATACTCTCACTGACATGAATAGTGTCACATTCAAAAGTGAAGATGCCTGCATGGTCATCATCCAAGATAGTGACAGTGGCCACACAAGGAGACACCAGGACAGCCCGAGGTAAGGGAAGACTATTAAGTATAGGTGGAGACATCCCCTCCTCTGGCTGCTCCTCTTCTATGCGGACATTGCTCAACCTGACAAAGAAGTGTTCATCCTCCTCAAAAATGTCATCATCGATGATGCCCACAGAGAACTCCTTGTGGGTCTCTCCTGGCTTCAGAATCACGGTGCCCTCTGTGAATTCATAGTCAGCTCCTGCATTGGCAGAACCATCCTCTGTTTTGTAGTCCACATACATGGTCTTGGATGTGTCCCCCCCTTTCCTCACCACAGTCAGGAGGACAGCCCCACAGTTCTCCAGGCACTGGTAAGAGCATGGGTCAAAGAAGACCTTGGAGACAAAGTCCTCAGGCTCATCAGTGTGCACCTCACTCATGCTGGAAGACTTTTTGGCTTGTTCTGCAGCATGTTTCTTCAGGATATTGCCTGCACCAGTCATCATACGGGTGGCTTGAATCCGGTAGAAGGCGCGGCTCTTCTGCTGATGGGAGAGAGCATAGTAATTGGCCATCTCTACCAGCTGATCTAAATCCTTCTCTGGGTGTTTTTGCTTTAGATCCTTAAGAATCCGGATCATCTCCCTGCGGGACTCATCCACTTCCTTCCCTTCCAGGGGCACCAGATTCCCATCTAGGAAGTGGGAATTCATCATTTTCCCATCCATCTCAATGCCCTTGGGGTGGTCACCCTCTGTCTCTATGATAATTCCCCGGTGTTTATCTGTGCGATACTTTTTGTGCATGTATTTGTAGAAGAGGAGTCGCCTATCTGCCAACCAGGCCAGAAAGACACACACTGGAAAAAAGAAGAGAGTGAGGAGGCCTTCCCAAACCTGGACCACACCAGGAGAGAAGACTGCCAGGATCATGTAGAGCCAGATGTAGGCAAAGATGCTCCACGCAGCAGTGACGAAGAAAACTCGCAGGTGCTTGATCTTGCGAGTCTCTCCATCAGGGATCACATATACACAGATGCCAATGATGATGAACATATTGAAGGCTGCACTGCCTACAATGGTAGACGGTCCTAGATCACCAGCAATGAATCCATGACCACACACCTCAATTAAAGAGAGGAGGATCTCAGGAGCAGAAGAACCCAGGGCCATAAGCGTCAGGTTGGAGACAGTTTCATTCCACACCCGAATAGTTGTTGTGCTGGTCTCTCCATTGGGCTTTTTGATAGTCACCTCTCTCTCTTGAGAAGTGATGACTTCAATAGATGCCATGAAGCGGTCAGCAATGATGGATACTCCAAGGAACATGTATATTAGGGCCACAAAATAGACAATGACCCTGGCAATCTTATCCCCAAGGGAAGGGTTCTCTGGGTACCAGATTGGTAAGATAACACCCTCCTTGCAGTCTGATGACCCTGAACAGGACTCATTGTTTTGCCCTGTGCTGGGGACATCCCCTGAGCCACCAGCCTCTGCCCGAAGACCATTCAGGAAGAGCGCAAAAGTAATCAGCCCAAAATGGAGGAAGGCAGAGGTGAGAGGCTGCAACCTTAACCACGCCATACACAAGACTTAGCCACTGGCTTCCACCGCAACACCAATGGTCCTCCTGATGGGCCAGAGACCTAGAAAAAAACAGAAAGGCAGGAAAAGGAATGAGGAAAAGGGAGATGGCAAATGGCAGGTTCCCACCAATACAAACTGATATTTCACCTCAAATGACATATTGTGCTAACATATGGGACAGTCTCTCACTTGGAAAAATAGCTCCTCTGTCCTCAGGACCATCTGGTGGAGACTCAGTTGAAGAATGGCTTAAAATAGCCAGGAATGTTGGTAATGGAAACATAAGTGATGCCCATCTTGTCCTGTTTCCCAACCCTACTGTTATCTGTGATAGCTCTAAAGAATCTACTTAAAATAGGCCAAGAATGACCTAAATTTTTGTCCCCACCTACACCATTTCTAGGGTTTTCAGCCTTCTTTACCTCACAGTCATCATACTCACGAATCTTGTACAACATAGGTTTGCAAGAGCGTATGTTAAATTGAACTTTTATCATGTGCTAAACTCCAACACAGAACACCCTGCTTGTGTGCAGCTGAGCCCACTTGGAAGAAATTCCTTCTCTCAATGCAAAACTTCTGCAAGCAAGCTGTAATTCTAAGACTGCTGGGGAAATCAAAGAAGGTGATTCTGTGGTAAGTGCTACCTGCAGTGTAGCTAATCCGAGGCCCTGTAAACTATGTTCAGGACCTTCAGCAAAACGGGCTTATGAAACAGGTTTGGTATCCAATTACAGGAAGATGAAGATCAGTTAGCCACTCAAATTCCAAACCAAAACAATGAAAGAGCCAAGTGGTGGAAATCAGTGTTAATAAAACATGCAAGTGGCTCTCAAATAAGTTTATTTTTACACAGTAGACAAGATTTTAGGGTGAAGTGCAGCCTCATCTGCTGGTCGCAAGCCATTAAAAGGTGAGCAAAAGTCTGGAAGAAATTCAACTGAAACTACAGACCCATCTTCTTTCCACTCACCGCCTCATTCAGAGAGCATAAAATGCAAATAACCATGCAATAGCTTTTTAAAAAGCTACTCGACAATTTTTCCACCTCTGCTACAACCACGTGGGGTACTTTTAGTAACATAAATGCTGATTCACATCTGTACGGTGACTTAAGGATTCAAAATCTTTGTCTTCCATACCCTGTTCCTCCTTTTCTGCTGTTTCCCACCTCAGAATATAGCACCTCCACCTGCACGGTTACTCATGCTAGAAAACAGGTAGTCTGCAAGCCTTCTTTCTCCTACATGTCCCTTATCCAATCCAGCACTAAGTCCTACCAACTCTCCCTCATCACCATCACGGCCCAAGACACCGTGACTCCTCACCTGAAGAATCTATGCAGAATCCACCAAACTGAGCTCACTGCTCCAACTCCTGCTATTCTCTCTTCCATTTCCTCACAAAACTACAGTCATCTTCTTTAAAAAAAACCCAAACCTATGCTATCACTTCCCTATTTGAAACCCTTCATCAGTTTCCTCTTGCTTTTAATATAAAGCCCACAGTCCTTCCTGTGACCTACAAAGCCTGGTCTGAGCTACCTTCTTCATTCTTTCCCCCCTTTATCTTTTGCCACACTCCCTCTTACTACCTTTCAGCAACAATGGACTTTTATATTGGGTTTTTTCCACCTCAGGACCTTTGCACATGACATCATTCTGTATGCCTGATGTGACAGTTTCTTCTTTGCATCTGCACTCTTACCAATCCTTTAGATCACAGCTTCAATGACACTTTCTCAGAAAAACTTTCACTCACCGCCCAAAATGGTCAACTCCCCATGTTATGTCCTCTCATCACACTCTTTACTTTTTCTTCATGGCATTTATAAAACTTTGAATATGAATGTATTTTTGTGAGATTATATGATTAATACCTCACCTATCCACTAAACTGTGAATGACATAAAGGCAGAGACTCTGTCTATTCTGTTTATCATGGTATTCTAAGTAATTAGTAACTGATCAGTAAAGGTATGTTTTTCAAATACATATATTGTAGTCACTAAGGTAGTTTCCTCAGTGCTACGAATTTGAATTGTGTCTCCCTCCCCCACGAAATCCATGTGTTGAAACCCTAAGCCCCTATGTGACTGTGCAGTGAGATGGGCTTTTAGGAGGTAATTGGGGTATGAGGTCAAAGGGCAAAGGGTAGTGTCATAACCTGATAAGATTTGTGACCTTATAAAAAGATAAAGAGGGAGAAAAAGAGAGAGAGATGTCCATCATGTGAGGACATACAAGAAAGTGGCCATCTGTAAGCCAGAGGAGAGCTCTTGCCAAAAACTGAATTGGCCAGCACCTTGATCTTGGACATCCTAACCTCCAGAACAGTGAGAAAATTAATCTCTATTGTTTAAGCCACTCAGTCTATGGTATTTTGTTATGACAGCCTGAGTCAACTAATATACTCCAACATTAGCCTTCTTTAAAGACATTTTATGATCTGAATTATGGCCATTTACTTTAGGAATAGAATATATAGGTCTCATGGACAAATCCTCACTTGATTTTAGAGGCTATTAGGACCTCTTTAAATTCCCAAGACTTGTTGTAGTCAAAGAGAAATTCCCTTCAGGACACAGTATACCTTGGTGTACACTATAATCTTGAAGGCCTTACCCCCAAAAGGCTGTGTGGATTAACCTGGCTTCATATTCCCCAGAATGGCAGCCAAGTGCTGAGGCCACATTCCCCATTAGCCCAGGCACTGGGGGGTCATCACAAACTGTGCTTTGGGCTTTGACCTTACTCAGAAGAGAAAAGATTATGAGACTGTTTATGGCAGAGGAGGGTGAGTAAAGATGTTCAACATCCATATTCAAAGATTGAAAAAGCGCTCATAATCTGTGATGTATACAGAGACCCCATTCACAGGCTTGGTACTCACCCATTCAGGAGAAATGTGGACAGAGAAGGATCTTGGCACCCTGCCTTGACCTCTGGAAACCCCACACTTTGTGGATTCTTATGAGCCCCATGCAAGAGGAGACAGAAGGTGGGCACAGCTGGAGCAGCTCTTTGATCAAGAGCCAACGAGGTGACAGGAGGTGGCAGCTGCGCAGACCAGCCAACACCAAGAAGGTAGGCTATCCTCAGTTTAGGGAAGAGAGCTGGCCCTCCGCAGTCAAAGGATGTGGCACACTGAAGCAGTCATGTTATCCTGATTAATGGGGATAAGAACTCTCTTCCTCTCACCCACCAAGAAAATCTAGGAGGATCATGGTCTTTGCTCGCCTCAGTCTTTATAGACACCTGTGGCAACAGGTTTTAATGGGAAATGACCTATCAGGTGTTCAGAATCAGAGGCCTGTTTAGAAAGACTTTCCCTGTGGGGGAGAAAAATGAACTGAAGGAAAGGATGAAAGAAAACAAGGCAAGAAGGAGGCTAGTTAGTAAAATGTCTGCACCAAGTTCTTGGAATTGAAAATGGAAAATGACTTGTGATTCCCAGTTGTTCTTTCCAGCCTTGCCAGAATGGTTTTGCCTGAGACTTGAGAGGAAGATGATCAAGCCAATGGTAACTTTTTTGTGCTTCAGACACTGGCTGAGTGAGACAGATCCCGTCCTGGGGTCTACCCCAGCTCCTCAGAGACCTAAATGGTTCCAGAAGGCTCTTAATCAGCCCTAAGGTATACTCAGAGATATGACTCAGCTTGAGACCCCCTCAAAACCACCCCAAATAATGAAGATATTAATAGCAGTAACTAACACTTAAAACTGCTTATTGTGTGATAATACTAAGCATTTCCTCAGTTAATCCTCACAACAATCCAATAAGATTAGTACTATTTTTATCCTTATTTGATGTTTTATGAAATTGAGTCTTAGTTAAGTCATTTACTCAAAGTATAAAGCAAGGAAGTAGTCAAGCTGAAACCCACACACAGATGACATACAATTTGTGGTTTTAACATTCCATTTTACTAAAATGTCCCATTTTGTTATGGAACATCCATGACCCCCAATCAGCTTCTAGTCCCCTGGGGACTTAGAAGCATTATGACTACCCCGCACACCCTAATCGGAGAGACTAGCCATTTGGTACACTTGCCTAGTCCCCAGGCTTACAGGGGGTTGTAGTGTTTGGTTGCCTAACACAGTCTCCCACCCAAATGTTCTTCTTCCATTCATTAATTTTTACAAAAATCAATGAAAGCTGGTGATTTGCCAGGCCTGGTGCTAGAGGCTGGTAGATAAAATGAAAAATAAGACTCAGGGTTTGCTCTCTAAGGTACAATCTAACAAGGATGGATAGCTGCACAAATAGGCACTTTTACTACAATAAGTTAAGGCAGGGGCAGAATGCTGTGAGAATACAAGCGAGCCACTGAGTCAGTGTGGGCAGCCAGGGTGGCATCTGAAGGAGGTGATCCCTGAAATGAGTCTTTAAGCATGAGTGAGCTCTAGTCAAAAAAAAAAAAAAAAGTGGGAAGGGCATTTGAGTTAAAGTGAACAGCCTAAGCAAAGATGCAAAGACATGGAAAAGCCTGCTGTATGCATGGGATTACACAGAATTCAGTGTGAAGCGGAAGGGGCAGAAGATGGGTATGCAGCAGACTGGACACATAGGGAGGACTAAATTTATGGCGTCTTCTATGCCAGAGTGGGAAAATGGTATTGTATCCGAAGGGCAGTGACAAGTCAATGATAGGATTTTAAACAGGAGAATGACATGGTCTGATTTTTCATTCAGAAAAACCAATTCAGCTAAAGGGTTTGGGATGCTTAAGATGGACAAGACCAGAGCAGGAAGATCAGTTAGAAACCAATTGGAAACAGAACAGATACAGATAAAGAGGGAGGGCCTAGGGTATATTCTGCAAACGATGACCCTGTGTCCCCATGTCACATTCCTCTTCCTTGGCTGAACAGATGCCCAGGCTCAGCCCACAGCCTCTCTCATCTCTTTCCTGGATTATTTTCCTAACACCCCCGGGGCCATCTGCAAGGTGTCTGTGTCCTCAGCAGTGGCTCCTGACATCTTTTAATATCACTGGCAAATTTAATTAAAGTCACTGTTCCTCTGCTCTTCCAGATCATTAATAAAACAGAGC